CTCTCTCTCTCTCTTATGGACAATCTGCTTTTCTCTCTCTCTCTTATCGACAATCTGTAAATTTGTTTGAAGTGCTTTCATCTCTTCCATACCAGCGAGAGGGCAGGCAAGGGGCTGGGGATCCAGTCACTGGATAAATGCAATAATTAGGCTCAGATTTCTTGGAAGACGCCTTTTTTTGTTTTTTTTTGGTTAATTTTTAATGTGAGACTGAAAAACAAAAAAAAAATGCTGCATTCAGGCTACCTGTAAGAAAGGCTCTAAGAAACGCAGGAGGGATAATTCTCGTCAACGTTACTTACTGGAGGCAGCCGCTTATTGCACCGACCTGCTCTTCCAGCGCGACATGGAATGTTTCTGACCCATTTCCGTACATTTTCTGAACTGGACCTTAGAGGATCAGAGAGGTCGCAATTTCCTGATGAGATTTTCAAAAAAAAACAACATTCGACTCTGTCCGGTACAAAAGTCTTTGTCTGAGGCAGGTACGGGGGAGGGGGTTTGGGGGTTGGAAACACAAGGATCCGGATTTCCGCAGTGATACATTCTGCTCGGTGACATCTGGAAACCTTGTTTGTAAATAATCTGGAGCAAAGTTTGGTGGTGTTTGGCGGGGGGGGGGGGCGGTAGGGAGTGGACGCTGTAGCTCTCATTTGTTTTGAGATTGGCTTCGACGCAGTGAACAGCCGAATGGCATTCACCGAGATAGACCCAGCTCAGAGTGAAACAGGGGAGCTGATTCATACCTCACACTCACACACGGAGTTGCAGTTTTCCGGGAGATGCCCTCAAGGTGGTAATTGTATATAACAAGGAAAATGTTTAGATAAGGATGTTCAGATTAGGGTGGATTGGCCATGCTAAATTGCCCCACAGTGCCCCAGGGATGTGCCGGTAAGGTCGATTGGCCATGCTAAATTGTCCTGTGGTGCCCAGGGATGTGCAGGTTAAGGTGGATTGGCCATGCTAAATAGCCCATAGTGCCCAGGGATTTTCAGGTTAGGGTGGATTAGCCATGCTAAATTGCCCATTGTCCCCAGGGATGTGCAGGTTAAGGTGGATTGGCCATGCTAAATTGCCCATAGTGCCCAGGGATGTGCAGGTTAGGGTGGATTAGCCGTGCCAAATTGCCCATAGTGCCCAGGGATGTGCAGGTTAGGGTGGATTTGCCATGCTAAATTGCCCATAGTGCCTAGGGATGTGCAGGTTAGGGTGGATTAGCCATGCTAAATTGCCCATAGTGCCCAGGGATGTACAGGTTAGGGTGGATTGGCCGTGCTAAATTTCCCACAGTGCCCAGGGATGTGCAGGTTCGGTGGGTTAGCCATGGGAAATGCAGGGTTCCAGGGATAGAGTAGGGTGTGGGTCTGGGTGGGATGCTCTTGAAGTGGGGGGGGTTCAGCGTGGACTCGATGGGCCGAATGCTCCGTTTCCCCACTATACGGGATTCTATGAGTAAACTTTAGGGATTGAGGGTGAGACTCATTGCGGCCATTTGGGTAAAAGCATGGGAAATTCGCCAAAAGGAAACGGAAGGAAGGTCTGCATTTATGTGGCGCCCTTCCCTATCGGGAAACCAGAGCTTTTATTTTGAAGCGCAGTTCACTGTTGTAATGAAAGTCAATCTCAACTCAGCAAACAGCGGGTGTGAGAATGAGTGGAGTGTCTAATATTTTAACTGTGTGTGTGAGGGATCCCGTTGGCCAATGCACTTCCCCGAACCCCCAACCCCACGTTCCCTTCCAATTAGTGTCAGAGGCACATTTATATCCATCAAGTAGCACTGATTAAGCTTCGACACATTGTGGAGCTGGAGGAACACAGCAGGTCAGGCAGCGTCAGAGAAGCAGGAAAGTCGACGTTTCGGGTTCATCTGATCCCAGCATCTGCAGTTCTTGCTATCTCCGAGTGATTAAAGTTCCCTAGACACAACCCTCCAAACCTACACCCACTTCCATCTACCAGGAGGAGGTAGCAGATTCAGGTCTAAGGGTCACTCGACCCGAAACGTTAACTGATTTTCTCTCCACAGATGGTGCCAGACCTGCTGAGCTTTTCCAGCAACTTCTGCCTTTCTGATTTCCAGCATCCGCAGTTCTTTCGGTTTTTATTCCTTCACTGTTGCTGGGTGAGAAGCCTGGAAATCCCTTCTGAACCACGCTGTGAGTGTCCCTACACCCGAAAGGCTAGGGCGGTTCAAGACGCCAGCTCACTATCCCCTTCTCAACAACATTTAGGGATGAGCATTAAATCCACCACCTCACCCCACCCAGCAGCAACACCCATTCCCCATAAATAAAGATGGGGACACAGTATAAAACAAAGTCAGCAACGCCTCCCCCCCACCGATGAGACAGCTTTGATTATTACAGAACAATTTAAGAAGTACAAAGAGTGGGGAGCTGGATCTTGGTCATTAAGATTGGGGAAGGCACAAAGCGTTTAGTGGAAGGTGGATTTGAACTCATCACGTTTAGAAAGGCCGGGTTAGTGAAGAAATCCGCGGACAAAGGGAGGAGAGGTAGGACGTGAGATTTTTTTTTCTACAGCAGCATGAGAAATTCATCAGGCTGACTTGTAATAATGCATGTGACACCGTAGGAAAGACGTTGGAATACGCTTGAGTCCAGCTCTAAAGAGGTTTTCTACGGTAACCGGACTGACACAGAGGCGGCTCGACCGTGTTGGGGAGTTTGTGACTCAGATGTAAGGATGGACATGAGCTCAAGTAAAGCACTCCCCACCCCAACCCCCGTCCGCACCCACAGACTATGTGGAGTTAGAACACAGAGAGGAGGATCCGGCGCTTTCTGTGTTACAATGAAGAGACACTGTCCCTCCAGTTCCATATGCCAATTCCTGCTCACCCATTACATTACGAAACCTGAGTACGTGGCCGAACCCAAAACCAAGGGCAGGAAGGTTCCAGAGAGCTCGAACCAAGAGGTTAAAGGACAGTTCAAGGCTAAGATCAGCAGTAACTCCCATTCACAAACAAAAAACAGAAGTTGCTGGAAAAGCTCAGCAGGTCTGGCAGCATCTGTGGAGAGAAATCAGAGTTAACGTTTCGGCCCTTCTTCAGAACTGAGGAGAAGTGAGTTCTTGCTGCCAGACATAGAACATAGAACAACACAGCATAGTACAGGCCCTTGGGCCCACGACGTTATGCCTACTAAGATCAATCTACCCTGCATACCCTACATTTTACTATCCTCCATGTGCCTATCCAAGAGTCGTTTGAAAGCTTCTGCAGCAACTTCTGTTTTTGTTCCCGATTTCCAGTGTCCGCAGTTCTTTCGGTTAATTTTTAGTAACTCCCAATATCTCTGTTCAATAAAGGTATCAGTTATTCCGACTAACGGGAAAAACAAGATTTGCCCTTGTCTTCTATTATGTTTAAACATTCAGATCCTGAATGGAAATAGTTGAATGACCTTTGGAATGAATAATAGGGTGAACCAAATGGACCTTATGGGTGACTGGCCCTTTTATATACATGATGCGGAGGTGCTAGTGTTGGACTGGGGTGGACAAAGTCAGAATTCACATGACACCAGGATATAGCTTTCGGAGCCTCAGCCTTTGTGTTTTCAAATAAACTTGTTGGCCTATAACCCGTTGTCGTGTGAGTTCTGACCTTTTATATATAAAATGGGGTTCCTGTGCTGCAATTGCGTTGGTCCTCAGTGTATTTCTCTCTCTTTCTGTCACCATGCAGAGCCGATTCCCCAGTTCACCAAAGTCTTCCTGGGAGACTTGTCAGAATTCCCCACGACTTTTCTACCCGCTAGAGGGGGAGGTGAGGAGATCTATCGTTTACTGTGACCGCATTCCACTTCCCAACACGCTTTCTGAGCCCACAGTCTCGAC